CAGTCTACGGCCTGCGTCAGGCTCCACGTGAGTGGCACGACACACTTCGCTCGACCCTTGCAGCGCTTGACTTCTTTCCGTCGTCTGCCGACCCGTCACTGTTCGTCCGCCGTGGCTCGACCCCGTTCTTTGTTCTTGTTTACGTTGACGACCTGGTCTTCGCCACTCCCGACCGACACGCACTGGCCTCCGTGAAGGAGGAACTGCAGAGGAGACACACTTGCACTGACCTTGGTGAGCTGCATCACTACCTTGGCCTGCAGATCACTAGGGACAGGGCAGCTCGCACCATTACGCTGACGCAGTCGCATATGGTCGAGCAGATCCCCACGCGGTTTCGCTTCCCGTTCTCCAAGGTACAGCTCACCCCTCTTGGTGTGGATCATGGGCTCACGGCTCCACCTTCGGACGAGTCATTTGAGCCCAGTGGTCCATATCCTGAGCTGGTGGGTTGTCTCATGTACCTGATGACATGTACTCGCCCAGACCTAGCTTACCCTCTTAGCGTCCTTGCGCGCTTTGTTGCGCCTGGGAGACACCGACCGTCCCACTGGTACGCTGCTAAGAGGGTGGCGAAGTATGTGGCGAGTACATCAGGCATGGGACTTGTCCTTGGAGTGAAGCAGCCAGTTACACTCACAGGTTACTCGGACTCGTCGTGGGCCGACGACGCGGAGACGCGTCGGTCTACACAGGGGTACTCCTTTAGCCTCGGGACAGGTGCTGTTTCGTGGCGGTCGACTCGGGCGTCGTCCGTCTCCGGTTCCAGCTGTGAGGCAGAGGTGTACGCTGCGGCCATGGCCGCTCAGGAGCTTCGCTGGCTGTCTTTCCTTCTCACCGACCTTGGTGAGCGGCCTCGCTCTCCCCCAGTCTTGTTCGCCGACAACAGGTCTGCTGTCCTGTTGTGTGAGGAGCCCCGACTGGTTGGGAAGTCGAAGCACATCCAGCTTCGTTACTTCCTTCTGCGTGAGTTGCAGCAGCGTGGCCAGGCACTCGTACGACGCGTGGTCTCTGAGGCCAACACGGCAGATATCTTCACCAAGGCGTTGCCGCCTTGTGACCACCAGCGTTTCTGCACCCAGCTTGGCCTTGTGCCTGCCCGTCCTCACTTGCTTACGTAGAGATGCTTTGTCCTGCTTGTCTTGTACTCTTGCATCTCATTATATTTGCTATATACCTGCATGTGGACTGGCCTTGTGGCCTCTTGCTTGCTCTCGGAGTGTGTGGTGACTTTGAGCTCCACCCTGAGATTTGTCTTGTTCTTGTGGATTGGTCTTGTGACCCTTGCTTGTTCTTGCTGACCGGTCACGTGACCCTTGCTTGCTCTCAGAATGTGTGTGTCCTTGAGACCCACCCTGAGATTTGTGTTGCTTTCCACAGGACTGCCGTCACCTAGACTATGGGGGTGTGTCAACATATATTTTATATGTTTAGTTTTTGTTAGTCTAGGTGTACCATTTCATATTCCTAGGGTTAGCTATATCCTCTTGTATCTCGTTTCCCTTAGTCAATCTTTTCACCCGTTCTAGTCTCGACAACGAGCTGCGCGGATCCAGTCGATCAACACCTCAGTGACGTCGCCCTTGCTGCGCAAGGGGAAGACCGTGGTGTAACGCGAGTAGTCGTCAACCACCAACAGGAAGTAACGCTCGTGCCCCTGGCCACGGACGCGGGCGGGGCCCCACACGTCCATGTGAAGAGTCTGCAACGGAGCCTCTGTCGGAGGAAACTCGGAGGAGTGGGGGGCGGCGCGCTGTCGCCCCTCGACGCAGGGGACGCAGGTAGGGGCAGGCCCCGGAGGTAGGGGAGGGAGAGACCGGGGGAGACCAGAGACAAGGACACGGGAGGCCATGCCTCGAAGACGAGGCAGGGAGGGGTGACCAAGGCGGTGGTGCCAAAGGAGAGTCTGGTGAGACAGGAGACGACACGAGCAGGGAGCAGACTCAGGACTAGACCTGGACGCTGCAGCAAACACCTGACTCGACGCAGCTACCTGACCAGACTCAGCAGCCGGAGTAGACTCAGTAGTGAGGGTGTACAGGCTCGACCCCGGCCGACGGGTGAACGTGGCCAAGTGTCGGCCTGTCCGAGCACACGTGCAGTGGGTCACCTGCTGACTCGCAGGAGTGAACTGGTCAACCCCCCTATCCTGTAGATCAGCTCCACTCACCAAGTTCGTAGAGAACGAGGGGAGGTAGAGACCTGACAGGGTGCCAGAGGGGGCTGCCGGACACGGTAAGACAGTGGAGAAGCGAGCAAGGACAGGGCCCCCAGAGGGGTCCGCCAGGGAGACCGCAACCGACCGACTGAGCGGCGTAAGTGTGGTGCGGTCTCGAAAGAAGGAGCGGGAAGCACCCGAGTCAAGGGTGAAGGTGTGTAAGGCCTGAGCCGACGTAGTACCTGAGAGAGCAGACTCACCAGCACCTGGGGCAGCAGACGCACTAGCACCTAGAGCAGCAGCCTCACCAGTACCTAAAGCAGCAGTCTCAATGCCCGGGTCAGGCGGAACACACAGGTAACAGTCACCCTCAACACTATCAGACACAACATACATGGCAGCAAGAATAGCATCAAAATCAAGATCAAAGATAGCAACCCCCGCCCTAGACAGCTCTCCCCAGCGAGGGATCTCAGAGGCCTCAGGGAACTGGTGACGCCACGCGTCCGTCAGGCGGCCGAAGCAGCGCTGGGTGGAGTGCGGGCCCCCGCACTGCTCACCAGCGCGGTCGCCGGTGCGGAGAACGTAGGTGCAGGGACCAGTACCCCCACCGCGCTGACGCGCAGCGTACCACTCACGAAGCTGCTGAGGGGACAGGGTCTCACGGCTGCGCTGCTGCTGCTGGCGCGTACCACCACCGGAGCCACTCCTCTGCGCAGAGCCGCGACCAGGTCCACTGCTGCCGCCGCCGCCTCCGCCACCTCCGCCGCCTCCGCCGCCTCCACCACCTCCGCCGCCTCCGCTCCCTCCGCCACCGCCGCCGCCTCCCCCGCCTCCACTGCTGCCACCCACACCTCCACCCCCGCCACCACTCCCACCACCACCCCCACCCCCTCCACTGCCTCCAGCACCACCTCCACCGCCCCCGCCAGCCCCTCCAGCGCCCTTGCCCCCCTTGCCCTTGCCGGTGCGGCGTCTCCCGCTCGGGGCAGACGCAGCGCCGACCGACTCGAAACCAACGAGGTCGGCCGCAGCAGCAGAAGCAACAGAGGGCAAGACGGGGGAGGGGGAACACCCCTCAAAGACGGGGGTGCGAGGGTCACCACGAGAGGCTCCTACAGCGACTATGCTCTTCTCTGCTGCTAGGAGGCGCTCCTCGAGGAGATCGACGGTGAGAGTGGTGGGGCAAACTGAGAGGAAGTGGTCCCTGACTAAGCGAAGGGAGTCAGGGAGGCGGGTGACTATGTAGTAGAGGGTGATGTACATGGGGGGGGGGTTCTTGGCGCAGAACTCAGCAGGAAGCGCAGCGCGGTAGCGAACGTCACTAGTGCGAAGGTGAGTAATGAGGTCAGCGACTGTGGGAAAGGCAGCAAGGTCAGGGAACAGGTACGGCAGCATGAGGCGGCTAAGAGCAGCAGTGGCAGGAGAGGAGTAGCGTGCAACTACAGCGTCGTACAAGGTCTTAGCACTCTTGTACTGGCTAAAGTGCGCACGCTCAGCGGTCGGTAAGTGGCGACGCACAGCAAGGCGAGCAGCAGCATCGCGTGTGGCCCACTGTGAGCAAACAGTGCTGTCAGCAGTAGCAGGCGGGGCGGGAGAGACACCAGAGGTGAGATCAAACAGAGAGAGTCCGTCTGCCCTATCGCACTGGAGAAACAGCTGGAGGTCATAGACCCAGACCTCAAAGTCAACGGCACGGCCCTCAGCATCAAAAGTAAGGACACTGGGGGTAGCCATGACTGCAGTGGCCTAGTAGGGAGTGATCTCACCAGTCCGAGGAAGTAGGGCCGGGGCGCACCGGTAGGAACAGCAGCGGCTCGACAGTAGGGCGGCTCGGCGGCTCGGCGGCTCGGCTGCTGGGCGGCTCGGCTGCTGGGCGGCTCGGCTGCTGGGCGGCTCGGCGGCTCAGCTGGTGGGCGGCTCGGCTGCTCGGCGGCTCGGCTGCTGGGCGGCTCGGCTGCTGGGCGGCTTGGCGGTTCGGTCGCTGGGCGGCGGAGCGGTGACGGGGCCGGTAGAGGCGGCGGCGTGGCCGCTGAGGGAGGTGGCGGGGCCGCTAAGGGCGGCGAGGCGGTCGCAAAGGGCGGCGACGGGGCCTGTAGGGGAGGGCGACGGGGCCGCAGGTGACGGCGACGGGGCCGCAGGTGGCGGCGACGGGGCCGCAGGTGGCGGCGGCGGGGCCGCAGGTGGCGGCGGCGGGGCCGCAGGTGGCGGCGACGGGGCCGCAGGTGACGGCGACGGGGCCGCAGGTGGCGGCGACGGGGCCGCAGGTGGTGGCGATGGGGCCGTAAGGGGCCGTAAAGGGCGTCGCGAGGGGCCGAAAGGGGCCGCGCGAGGGCCGTAAGGGCGGCGTGAGGGGCCGTCAGGGGCCGTAAGGGCAGCGCGAGGGGCCGTAAGGGGCTGTAAGGGCGGCGCGAGGGGCCGTAGAGGGCGGCGCGAGGGGCCGTAAGGGCGGCTTAAGGGGCCGTGAGAGGGGCCGCTAAAGGCGGCGCGAAGGTAGGGAGGGCACACAGAGCGCGACTCGGGCAGGAGCGAAGCGCGCTCCGGGCATGAAAAAAATATATATATATCGTGGTGGGCCCTAGGTAGCGTTCCCACTAGGGAACCTGCTCGATACCATGATAAGAAACGAGGAATGAATGCATTGAGCAGAATGAGGAGTACAAGTAGTAAACCCTAAATTGTTGTACCGCATATGAACTACCCCACTACAGCCTACACAGACTATAGCATATATGCCTGACAACACACACATGAGCACGCTTCTATTGTAAGTTAACAAACAAACAAAGATATGCCTACCGAATATAAATAGGAGCTAAAAACATGAAAATCAACTTTGTCCTTATTCCCTATGGTCCCCATTATCCATCAAGAACCTCTCGAGTGCATCAATGGTGTAGGTTCCAGCACCAGGGGTAGGCGATGCTTCATGCTCAAATTCCCCTGTATACAACTCTCCTGCATCAATCCCATGTCCCCCAACCTCAAAACCTACTCGGTTGACTCCCAACTGCTCCATTAAGGGGACCGAATTGACATGATTCTTGAAGCTGTGACAGACTGCACCGTGGATGTGAGAAGATGAAGAGGTGAGGCCCCAGGCAGCAAGTGGAGTGTTCCGTGTCCCTCAGGAGCAACAGGTTGGCTGAGGGGTGAGGATGAGAAAGCTGACCAGCAGTAGGCTGGTCAGTATCACGAGCATTGTATGCAGGCCTGAAGTCCTCTTTTGCAGGTTCTTGCATTTCTACATCTCTACCACTGCTACCAGGGTTAAGGGTTCCACCACCTGTCCCATAGCCTCTGGTTCCCTTTGAGGCATCTTGCTCCAGGGAGATCCCTGTAAGGGAAGGTGGGAGACGGTGTGGGTGGGGGACTGCAACACCAGCACCAGCTCTGGCAGCAGTGACAGAAGCAACATCCCCAGCGCCAGTGGCAGCAGCAGCGCCAGTAGCAGTGCCAGCAGAAGCGCCAGAAGCAACGTCACCAGAAACCCCTGCAGTAGAGGTCAGAGCAGAGGAGGTGAGAGCAGCAGGTGTCATGGGGGGAGTGGACTGACTGCGGAAGGGCAAATGATGTTGGAAGAGATTGAGCTGCTCTTGATGCTGCTGCAGCAGTTCCAGCTCCTCTTGCTGGTGCACCGACTGCAATTGCTGCTGCTGAATCGAATTCGACAGCTTCTGCTGCTGCTGCTGCTGCTGCTGCTGCTGTGCCATCCAATTATCATCCAAAGACGACCCCTGCTGCCTCTCCAACCGTCCATGCTGCAACACCTCTCGTCCGTACCTCCTGGCCGGTAACCAAGGCGGCTTCTTGATCGTTCTTTGGAGCTCTTGAACATACTTGCTGGCCGAAACTACTGGCTGGAATGTTGACGTGCGCAAGAGTTGCCCGCCCAGCTGTCCAGCTCCCATTGGTCTCTGATCATGGGACTGTGATCGCCTCACCCTGTGCACAGGGATAGTTGAATTCGGCTCAAAAGAGGTGGCCGGGGAGGGTGCCAACGCCGACACATCAGGACGAGCAGCAACACCAGAGACACCAGCCACACCAGCAACAGGTGCAACACCAGCAGCGCCACCAGCAACACCGGCAGCACTGGTAGTATTCAAGCCATTCCCACTAGCCACATTGGTGGCAGCATCAGCAGTAGGGACACCATCCAATGGACCGACACCAACCACACCACCAGCAATACCAGCACCACTAGCACCGCTCCCACCACCCACACCACCTATGTTGGCCACACACGGCAGGGTATCAGGGGCTGAAGTACTAATGACAGGTGGCTCCAAGGGGAAAGATACAGTGTAGCTCCGCGGCACAAGAGATGCAGGTTTGGAACGATGCTTGAAATGAGTCTTGGGCTGAGGGTCGGACCAAGGAGGGCTGGAAAGCTTGGAGATCGCGCCGCCTTTTTCCAAGTCTGGGGTGTGGCTTCTAAACGCCTGCTGCTCTCTCCACTCTTCTACGGGTAACGCTTCACATATGAGGTCTACAGCTGCCTTGCCCCTACTTCCAGCCTTCAGATTGAGAGATCTGCATCACGAGAAGCTCGATGCATGCTGCTGCTGCTGCCGGCGCTGCTGCCACTGCGTCAGCGCCTGTTGTTGGTCCTGTCCCTGCGGCTGCCCCTGTCCCTCATTCTCCTGCTGCAGCTGCCGCTGCTGCCACTGTCGGCGCCCCTCCTGTTGCCCCTGCCCCTGCTGCTGCTGCTGCTGCTGCCACTGTTGCTCCCCATGTTGCTGCTCATGCCGCTGCCCGTGCTGTTCCTCCTGTCCCTACTGCTGCCGCTGTTGCTCCCCATGTTACTGCTGCCGCTGCCACTGTTGCGGCTGGTTCTGCTGCTGCTGATGCACGTGTGGAATCACAACCACTGAAGATCCGCGGGACATGGTAAAAGCATAACGCATGCCATGATCCCCCCTCTGATGCGGCGCAAACGTGGACATCATGCTAGCAGCATACTGCATCATATCAGCATGCCAGCTAGGAAGCACACTTAAAGCCGAACCTGCCATGCTGGGAACCTCCACCTCCTCCTTCGCTTCTTTCAGAGAACCATCCTCACCAGGGGTCATGAATCCCCTAGACACATCCACACTGAAACCCCATGAAACCGTTCGTGGTTCGCTTGGGATTGGCAGCCCTGCTGTTTGCGGCCTAGCCAACGCTTGCTGTCCTTCCAACACTTGTGCCCCTGTTACTGCGTGCTGCCCTGCTGCCAATGCGTGCTGCCCTGCTGCCTGTGCTGTGGTTCGTACTGGAGTAAGACTCTGCTCCATGCCTGCATGAGAGGATGAACCCCTTGCTGCCACACCCACCACCACACCTGCCCCTCCGCCCTGTTGACCCTGTTGACCGCCACGGCCGTTTTCACCCACAGAGATTGTCCCGCCTCCTTGCTGTCTGCTTTCGTGAGGCGAATCCTCAGAGCTAGGCAGCTGGAAGTATCGATCATATGGCCCCATTTCCATCGCCAAACGCTCATCCGTTCCCATCCTCGTCTCCACTGCGCCTCCTTCCTCCTCCATCGCTCCTTCCTCCTCCATCACTCCTTCCCCACCAGCAGTCTCTCTGCTTCCACTGCCTTCTTCCTCTGAAGTCATCTCCCATTCTTCCACTCCCTCCCTCCCTGCTGTAACACCAACCCCACTCCCTCTAGCCCCATCGGTTTCTTCTATCCGCCCCAGCTGCTGAGCAAACTGCTCCGCAAGATCAGAGATCCACTCCCTCTCACCTTCTGTCAAGCCTTTAAACCCCATATCATCAAACCCCATCTCCTCAAACCCCATTTCATCAGACCCCATCTCCTCAAACCCCATTTTATCAAACCCCATCTCCTCAAACCCCATCTCCTCAAACCCCACGTCCTCAAACCTGCCCATATCTGCCCCCGGTGCTTCATGTCCCAGCAACCCCTTTCCAATCGCTGCGGCACTTGGCAGATTCCCTGGCAGTATTGAGCGGCGATCCATGGTTGCATTACTAAACACAGGATTTTCTTCTGAGGTGTGAGTGGGGGGGATGGCATGGAGACGACTGCTGGTGAGTGCAGCTTCAGGGATAGAAATATCAGCAAAGGTGGATGGGAGGGCAGAGATAGAGGCGGAGGAGGCAGAGGCAGAACTGGCAGAGGTGGAATTAACAGAGATGGAAGGGGCGGAGGAGGACGAAGGGGCAGCTAAGCTCGAGCTACTACCGCTTACAGTGGAGCTTCTTTCAGGAATGTATACTCCTCCTGCTTTGCTCCCGCTATCACTGCCTGCTGATGTGTCCGTTGCTAATCCTATGACTCCTTCCTTCCCCGTCCTCCTCCTCCTCCTCCTCCTCCTCCTCCTCCTCCTCCTCCTCCTCCTCCTCCTCCTCCTCCTCCTCCTCGTCCTCCTCCTCGTCCTCCCCCTCCTCCTTCCCCTCCTACCAGTGCGGCTGACACTAGCTTTATGGCCTCTGATCCTGCACCTGCATCGTCTATTGATTCTGTCACAGCCCTACTTGATCCCTCTCCAAACGGCCTCCGAGGTTCCACAAAGCTCGCTGCTACTTCCTTACTTGATCCCACTCCGAACGGCCTGTGAGGCACCGCAAAGGCCGCTTGTCTAGCTCTTCCCTCTCTCTGCATTGTCTGACCCACACCTACTCCCACCAATCCCCTTGCTGCAGTGTCTTCACCATATACTACCTCCTTCCCTTTCCTCCCATAGCTCCTAGCACTACTGCCCTCCGTAACTTGCGTTACTACCCCATGTGATTGCACTCCCATGCCAGTCTCTCCACCCTCCTGCCCTGCAACCCTTCCTGCTGTTTCAATCCTAGTCGCTGCACCCAATGAGGCTGCAGGATCCGAACTCAGTACCACTACCCCTCCCCCTTTCTGAAGAAACCTTCCTGGGAAGTTAAGCTTCGCCTTTGCTCCTCAGATTTTGAGAGCAGCTTCATCAAACGCGCGAGCGGCCTCCTCTGCAGAAGGGAACGTGCCCAACCACTTGCGGACCCCGGTATTGGTGTCTTTAATCTCCGCAATGTAACGAAACTCTCCTCGCTTCCGCACTCCCCGGTACTGCCCTGGCTGGTTGTAGTTGTGGATGCGCGGCAACCTGGTGCGACTAGCTGCTCGCCCTGATGACCTTGCGACAGTTGCAGCCTCACCTTGTTCTACTTGTCCTTGCTGCAATTTTGGCTGTAGCAGTGGCTGTAGCTGTGATGAGAGCTGCTGTATCTGGTGTGGTGGTAGCTGCATTGGCTGAGCCTGTAGCTGTGGCTGTGGCTGTGGCTGTAGCAGCATCTGCTCCTGCATCTGCTGCTGCGACACCTACTGCTGTGAGAACTGTTGCTGTGAGAACTGCTGATGTGAGAACTGTTGCTGTGAGAACTGCTGTTGTGAGAACTGCTGCTGTGACAGGGAGACCTGTTGCTGTGGCATCTGCTGCTGTAACATCTGCTGCTGCAACATCTGCTCCTATTGCATCTGTTGCTGTGACACATGCTGCTGTGACATCTGCTGCTGTGACCGTCACAGTGACAGTGAGATCTGTTGCTGTGGCATCTGTTATTGTGAGATCTTCTGCTGTGGTATCTGCTGCTGTAGCAGCAGCTGCTGTGACATATGATGCTTTGGTTTCTCCTGTAGTGCCATCTCCAGCTGTGACATCCACTACAGCTGTAACATCTGCTGTGGCATCTGTTGCTATGATATCTGCTCTGGTTGCATCTGCTGCTCTTGAAATTGCTGCGGTAGAATTTGCTTCTGTGACATCTACTGTTGCTGCATCTGCTCCAACTACTAGTAGTAGTAAATCAGAGATGGTGGACCAAGGCTGCTCTGAAAACAGTGGCTGCTATTCTGAGAACATCTGAAAGTCTCCCACCTTGGAATCCCAAGAGTATGATGCTGTCTGACGTTGTACTAAGACAAACAACAACAACAAAAAAAAAAAAAAAAAAAAAAAACCAACAACAACACCAACACCAATTAGATGTGACTGATTTTGAAGGCCAGTTGATTTTGAAGCCAACGATGCTGCTGCTAGCTCCGCGCACCACTTGTGCTGTTGGAAGCCGATTGGCAAGGACGAGGCTAGATTGATAAGTTGCCCTAATCTACCAGTTCTGCTACTAGCAGGAACTTCCTGCTGTGCAGGTTTCAAATAGAAATTATTGAAGGCATTATTGAATAACTCCGCGTGGAATCCAAAATTTGCAGGTTTGAAGCAATGCAGCCTAACTTGCCGAAACAGTCTGACATGAGTTCCAACTTCTAGTCCTGCTGTGCTCTGTGGCTGGAACAGACGACTGTAGTGACTATGAGAAGCCAAGCACCTCTTGTAGCACAACTCCAAGTTAGAATGGGCTGGACAAGTAAGATTGAATGGGTTGCTGCTTATCCCAACTTGTTTCTGTTGCTCCACTTCAAAATGAGCTCTGGTTATGTGATCTTCGGTTTTTGAGTTTACCATGGTCTGGGTGGAAGTGGAACCTTGGTTGGATGCAGTTCTTTTACTTTCCCGTCACGGGCACGTATCAGGGTTTCAGATGCACGCACACATGTAACACTGCAAGTGGCTAGGCTCTCCCACTGGCTCTACACTTGTGCTGTACACGTACAGTTTTTGCCGTCACGTCACGGAGACGTTTTTAGGGCTATCAACGCAGTTCATTCATCATTGGCCAAATTACTGACGGACCGACAACTTCGCCTAAATTAACGGCCAGCGAACCGTCTACAACTGCTTTCGGGCAGACAAAAATATAAACCCCTCTCGGATGGAATGTTGTTTAGGGAGGCATCAACCCTAAACACAATGCGGACGTGTTTAGGGTTGATGCCCTGAACTATCGGTTCAATTGTTCGCGATGTGTATTATTTTTCGATGGCAAGCACCAAGGGATTCATCAACCATAAACACCATATATTGGGTGTTTAGGGTTGATGCCCTTTCTCCATGGGTTATTTATTTTTTGAGAAGGTAAAAACCCTGAATAAAGAGTTACCTTTCTCACTAAAAGTGAAACCAGTTGGCCTCTAGCATTCTGACAGGTGGTCCAATGACCATCGAACTGCGTTGAAAGGAGCTATGAGCGAAGAACTGGCTGAAACCCTGCGCCAGAAGCTACAGTGCTGCGCTTTTGGCGTGTAGTTTCAGTAAGTGTGCGTGATCAACTCAAAACCCCAGGGTAGAGGTTTCGCGCGTTGTTTGCAAGCAGGGCTGTCGCTTGGTCTGGGCCCAACCCGTACGAAGCTGAGCTGCCTCGAAAACAGCCCTGAGCTATCCGGGAAGCGGACGTAAATTCAGGGCATTCATATTTCCCGCTCTGAGAATGCATGCGTAAGAAAGCTAAGTTATTCAAGCTAGACCTACACTAAAGAGCAGAGTGCGCTTGAGGAACGTGGGGGGTTGGAGTTGTTGGGGGGAGTGGGAGAGGAACAAGTTCGCGCTCTAAGGTCAGGAAGAATGGAGGGGGAGGGGAAGGGGGGTGGCTCTTACGGAAATCCGGGGAGCCCCAAAACCTGTCCGTTGGGAATCCGGGCTGGGGAAAAAACCAACCCTGAAAATCTCTGAGCTGAGCGAAAACTAACCCTGAATTCTCAGGGAAAACGGACAAATGTCCGTGAATAGACAGGCCTGTTTGCAAGATGTGTGGCATGAAATGCTCTGCTGATAGGGCGACGCCTTTGTGGCGTGATGTTATTGGCTTGGTTTTGCGTGTTCTGCGCGTTCGGCTTGGCCTCGCCTTTTCGTGGTTTAGGGGCGTTCCACTCCACCTGATTTGGAATCGGCTCAGCAGACGTGGACACTGTCCACTGGACAGTGCTCCTCCAGCAACCTTGTTGAAACTGCGGGAAATGGAGACTACACCCCCTGAACCGTGCCTAACTGGCAGGCTGATTGTGCCCTATTAGAGTCGGATAAATAAACCATTCTGAAACAAAACTTATCCGTCCTAAACCGTGTTCTTTCAATCCGGATGTCAGTACGGCGTAAGCGTCACGGGACCGGCATCAGTCGTGACGTGGAAGTAACAGTTTTCAACACTCTCGACGCTAGCTGCCAAGACGAAGTCAGCATTGACGTGTACTGTACACGCTCGACGCTCAGAAATTTCAGGTGGCAAATGTCACGTGGATAACGCTAGGATGCACCGCAGGCTCATTCGCCTCGCCTGCTTAGGACGTGGTGAAAGTGGAGAATCGATCGCCAAATGATCGTTTTTTAGCACGGTTATAAAAGGTTGTGTACATTTCGTGTCCAAAATGCAGGGTTCAGTGCGGTGACCGAATCGATCTACCCCCGATCGAGCACTCCCACCGCCTCCTTAGTTTTTCGCCAATGCAAGTGTACTACTGTACTCCAATTTATACAGTTCGTGTACATTGACGAAGTTTGCAAGGGTTAAATGACAGATGATGTACGCGTTACATTTCACTTCCATACGAACCGAGTCATTCCATCAAGAACATCCATCGAGGATCTGACAAGATAGCATTGGGAAATACCAGACATTGTCCATTTAGACTCCGCCTGTCCAGCCCTCAGTATCTAGGAGTCATCATGAAGTTCCGCTCGTTGCGCTTCAGCTTGGTTCTTTCAACGCGCCGGGCGTGAGCATCTTCGCGTTATTTGTTGATCCCAGCCTCACTGCTAGCCACAAAGGCCCTCCGTCGTTTGGTCCTTCCTTCCTGGAAGTTCGGCTATTTCTTTCATTCTCGGCGGTTCTCTTGGAATCGACCACCGGGAATCGCGGCGATGGTGCAATTGCGACGATATTGACGTCACCAGGAGGATAGGTCGCGGAAACGGCCCGGCGTGTGCTGCTGGGAGAAGCGACGGTAGCGGCGCTGTTGCGAGTTCATCGCGGAAAAGGAAATTAGCGATTTGGGGGGTCCGAAGGTTTTTCTGCGGAAAACCTGCTACTTAGTTGCGCGAAGTGTACAAAAAACAACGCACGCAAAATGCAGCAATCCGCACACCAGTTTTGAGGGTTTTGACTGAAACAAAACTGTCACGCAAAAGTTGCATTTTCGTCCACATTTTCGCGTCATGCGGTGATGCATGGTTGACACAGATTAAAGCGGTTTAGAACTGTGACAATGTTTGTGAATTGTAACAGCAGAACAAACGAGGCAACGCGACGCAACGAAACCGAGCGAGTCTGTACAGCTGGAAACCCGCTTTTCGTTTTTTTCCAAATCTGAACCCAAACCAACCCACCCCAAACCTCAGACAGTGGATGGCTTCTTCAGAAGTGTGACGTGTGAGCCTAAAAATCATTTACACCCAATCCGCACACGCCGAAATATACACGTCAGCCACCCAACCAAGGCAAACCAAACGTCCACCGAATACGCTCTCACCTTTCCTCGAGAATCCATCTCCCACGATTCACACCCGCTCGATACAGCAGCAGCTGTAGCGGGCTATTCTGGATGCAGCGGCAGAATGGGGTGTGGGGGCGGGAAGGCGGGAAACAAGGGGAAGGGTTTGGGGGAAAATAGGATCGAGGGTACGGGGGAGACAAGCGGGAGGCAGAGATGGGGTGGGGGAAAGATGGAGTGGGGCGGATATGGGTGGGGCGGAATGGGGGGATTTTGAGATGGGTGAGGAGGAGGAGGGGTGAGGAGGAGATGGGGTGTGGAGGAGGAGGGGTGAGGAGGAGATGGGGTGTGGAGGAGATGGGGTGTGGAGGAGATGGGGTGAGGAGAAGGAGGGGTGAGGAGGAGATGGGGTGTGGAGGAGGAGGGGTGAGGAGGAGATGGGGTGTGGAGGAGATGGGGTGAGGAGGAGATGGGGTGTGGAGGAGGAGGGGTGAGGAGGAGATGATGCGTGGAGGATATGGGGTGTGGAGGAGATGGGGTGTGGAGGAGATGGGGTGAGGAGGAGATGGGGTGTGGAGGAGATGGGGTGAGGAGGAGGAGGGGTGAGGAGGAGATGGTGTGAGGAGGAGATGAGGTGAGGAGGAGATGGGGTGTGGAGGAGGAGGGGTGAGGAGGTGATGGGGTGTGGAGGAGGAGGGGTGAGGAGGAGATGGGGTGTGGAGGAGGAGGGGTGAGGAGGAGATGGGGTGTGGAGGAGATGGGGTGAGGAGGAGATGGGGTGTGGAGGAGGAGGGGTGAGGAGGAGATGGGGTGTGGAGGAGATGGGGTGAGGAGGAGATGGGGTGTGGAGGAGATGGGGTGAGGAGGAGGAGGGGTGAGGAGGAGATGGGGTGTGGAGGAGGAGGGGTGAGGAGGAGATGGGGTGTGGAGGAGGAGGGGTGAGGAGGAGATGGGGTGTGGAGGAGGAGGGGTGAGGAGGAGATGGGGTGTGGAGGAGATGGGGTGAGGAGGAGATGGGGTGTGGAGGAGATGGGGTGAGGAGGACGAGGGGTGAGGAGGAGATGGTGTGGGGAGGAGATGGGGTGAGGAGGAGATGGGGTGTGGAGGAGGAGGGGTGAGGAGGAGATGGGGTGTGGAGGAGATGGGGTGAGGCGGAATGGGGAGATGAAGGATGGGGAGGTGCGGGATGGGGAGGAGAGGGATGGGGAGGGAAGAGATGGGGAGGCGGGGATGGGGAGGGAAGCGATGGGGAGGTGAGGGATGGGGAGGGAAGGGATGGGGAGGTGGGGATGGGGTGAGGTAGAATGGGGTGAGGCGGAACGGGTGAGGCGGTATGGGGTGAGGCGGTATGGGGTGAGGCGGAATGGGGGAGGCGGCATGGGAGGAGGCGGCATGGGATGAGGCGGAAGGGGATGAGGCGGAATGGGGTGAGGCGGAGATGGTGGCTCTCAAGATGTCGTTGCGCCCCCGACTCAGCTTGACGATAAGCCCGTGACAGCGGTGTTGCGGGTCGCACGCCAACACTCTTCTGCGGTGTGTGGGAGGGGAGGGATGGGGAGGGGAGGGATGGGAAGGTGAGGGATGGCGATGCACATTGGAATTACTCCTCTGCCTTGCTGTACGCTGCATGCGCTGGATGGGGAGGTGAGGAAATGGGGAGAGGATACGAATAGGGCGGACGTGCGGAGATGATTTGGGAGAACGGGAGGCGATGGAAAGGGAGAGAGCGTGCGACGGGGGGGAATCGGCCGTGTGCGGCGAGCGGGGGTGAGCGTGTGCTTTCGAAGGATTGCGCAATGGCGACGGAAAGGGAGTGAGTGTGGGCGAAGCGAGGAGTTTGAGCGTGTGCGACCGGGGTGATTGAGCGTGGGCGACGGAAGCGATTGAGTGTGTGCGACGGAAGTGATTTCGCGTGGGCGACGGATGTGATTGATTTCTTGGGACGGAAGTGATTGCGCGTGTGCGACGGTAGGGTTGCGCAAAGCCGATGGAAAAGGAGTGAGCGTGGGCGACGGTAAGGGAGTGAGCGTGGGCGACGGTAGGGAGCAAGAGTCCGCGAGGGCGTACGCGTGGGCGAGGGATTGAGCGTGCACGACGAGAAAGGGAGTACGCGTATCGCCAAGGGAAATTATCGAGCGTGGGCGACGGTAAGGGACGCGTGGGCGAGGGAAAGGTGTGAGCGAATGCGACGGGAGGGAGTGCGCGCGGACGGAGCTGGGGTGAGGCGGAGATGGGGAGCGGCAAAGATGGGGTGCGGCGGAGATGGGGAATGGGAGATGGGGAGATGGGGAAGGGGAGATGGGGGATGGGGAGATGGTGGAAGGGGAGATGAGGGATGGGGAGTTGTGGGATGGGAAGGTGAGGGATGGGGAGGTGTAATGCCCAAGGCTATTATAATGGCGGTTACAAGGCTTTTATAATATTCCAATACAAAATAGTAGCCTTAACTAGCCTCAACAGCCTTGGAGATGAAGATCTTCTTGATGCCTTTGATGAAAAGCACTTGGAGTAGTAGTGTAGGGAAGCTTGTGAGAGAGCTTACAGGACTTAGCCAAATAATCCCATTTCCAATTGTTTAGTTGGAGTGGGAGGTTGAGAATGAGCTTGCTTAGCTCAGACCCCCTCAATACACCCCTTGGGGAACTATCCCAACCATGGTTTCCATGGTGGGATGGTTCCTAGGCTTGGAGCCTATGTGGCAATTAGTTGGGTTGGGAAAACCCAACCTAGAACCATTGAATGGTTGTTTTTAAGATAGAGTAGATTGTTACACTGAATTGGCAGTTTCTGATTGGTTGGAAATCCAACCTTCAACATTCCACTTTGATGGGTTGGAATTTCCCAAACCTATTGGTTGAGGTTTGGAATTCCCAACCCAACCCTTTCTCTCCCAACTCAACCTTCACTCACTCGTAGCCCAATAACTATCGAGAGCAATCTCGACGAATGCCTTTGAGTGTTAGGTTGTTAGCTAGGGAGTTAGGCGAGAAGTAGGTCGATGCGTTACATGTGAAAAATGAGGAATGAAGAAGAGAGGGGTTGCACTAGCAGCAGTTGGCATACGTATAGGAAACCCTAATTGGGTTGTACTCGCTATAGAGTACCCCACTGCAGGCTAGACAATTATAACATTCTGACACACCCCCATAGCCAAAGTGGGGTGTAATCAGCACAATGAGCAAGCAGGCATAGAGCAGGAGTTCACAATAGCGAGCAAAGCTAGAGTCATTCACAAAGGGCAAGTGAGGAGGAGGAGGCGAGACTGTAAGAGGAGAGGAGATAGGAGGCGACGGCTGAAGCTGCAGACACACGGGCAACAGGAGTCACACTGGCACAGCGGCTACCGGAACAGCGCTCCGGACTACTGGAGTAACTGGCTCCGCGGCTAAGACGAGCGGCAGGAGCAACGGACCCACGGGCGACTGGCGCAGCTGGCTACGACTGGGCTACCGGAGCAGCGCCCCGGACTACTGGTGCTGCTGACGACACGACGACAGCCTCCGTTCAACCAACCTCCTCCAGCTGCCCCACACCTCTCGACACACACCCCCTGCTCAAACCCTAGTTCCACTCCCACAGCACCCCCCTTTCACACACCCCCTGCTGCACCCTAGGTTCACTCACACCCCACCCCCTAGCACCACTCCGTCGACTCCCACACACCCACCCCCCTCAGCGGCAGCTGCAGCTATGGGAGACAGAGGAGGAGGAGGAGCAGGGGAGACCACACACCCGCCACCCCCTACTCGCCACCCCCAAACCCTAACACAGGGCAGGGCGGGATGGCGGGTAGGGAGGTTACGAGGGGGGGGGGGGGGGGGGGGGGAAGGGGGGGGGGGGGGGGCGACGCGCGGCCTCCCAGGGCGCCAAAGCAGGCGGCAGAAGGGGCGACGCTCGCTCCCCCCCCCCACGCGGCCCCCTCAGGTCGCCTCGACAGGCGACGGGAAAAGAGGGGGGGGCGGTGCACGTGCCCCCGGTGCGCCGCGACAGGCGACGGAGCATGGCCAGGGCGGGGCCGGGGCAGGGTCGAGGCAGGGCCGAAAGGGGCGGCGACGGGGCCGCAAGGGGCGGCGACGGGGCCGCTGGAGGCGGCGACGAGGCCGATAGGGGCGGCGACGGGGCCGCGAAGGGGCCGCGAGGGGCCTGGAAGGGCGGCGACGGGCCGCTAGGGGCGGCGACGGGGCCGCTGGAGGCGACGACGGGGCCGATAGGGGCGGCGACGGGGCCGCGAAGGGGCCGCGAGGGGCCTGGAAGGGCGGCGACGGGCCGCTAGGGGCGGCGACGGGGCCGCGAAGGGGCCGCGAGGGGCCTGGAAGGGCGGCGACGGGCCGCTAGGGGCGGCGACGGGGCCGCGAAGGGGCCGCGAGGGGCCTGGAAGGGCGGCGACGGGCCGCTAGGGGCGGCGACGGGGCCGCGAAGGGGCCGCGAGGGGCCTGAAAGGTCGGCGACGGGGCCGTTAAGGGCGGCGATAGGGCCTCGAAGGGGCCGCGAGGGGCCTGGAAGGGCGGCAACGGGGCCGCGAAGGGGCCGCGAGGGTCCGAGAAGGGCGGCGACGGGGCCGCGAGGGGTGGCGACAGGGCCGCTAAGGGTCGCGCGAGGGGCACGCCAGGGGGCGTGCAGCACACAGAGTAGCAGCGGAAGCAGTTAGGTGGGCCCACAGGCCAGGAGCGTAGATGCTCTGATAGCATGTGAAGAAACAAGGAATGAAGAAGAGAGGGGTTGCACTAGCAGCAGTTGGCATACATATAGGAAACCCTAATTGGGTTGTACTCGCTATAGAGTACCCCACTGCAGGCTAGACAATTATAACATTCTGACATTACACTCCTCCCCCCCCAGGTGGCAACGTCCCCGTTGCCCTAGGGTGCTTCTTAGGGCGAGCGCTTCGAGCCCGGCGCACCACAGTACGACCAGGGTCAACCCCGTCCACTGGTTGTGGGCCTGCTCATAGAGCCAGGTCTTCCGTATACGCTTGAACCGCTGCTTCGGTCAAGTGTTCCTCAGGCTCCCAAGAGTTGTGTTCCTGCCCATAGCCTTTCCACTGAATTAGGAACTCACGGACTGTTTTGCGGCCGCGTTGTCGATCATGGTGCGTTAGCACACGTTCGACTTCATAAAAGAGTTCCTCCCCGAGAACGATGGTTGGTGGTGGTAAGTACTTGCCTTCTGCAACGTACTTATTCAACAGAGACACGTGGAAGACGTTGTGAATCTGCAATGTCGCAGGCAATTTGAGCCTATAGGCGACCTCACCAACTCGCGCAATCACCTCGAAGGGCCCAATCCAACGAGGGAAGAGCTTTCGTGCTCCCGGGATCTTGAGACGAATATTCTTCGTACTCAGTGTGAATCAAGAAAACAGGAATGAAATGACTAAGTGAAAGTTGGGTACAAAAGGCAAACCCTAGGCAACTGTACCCCATATGTGCTACCCCACTATAGCCTACAGTAGCTATGTCATATAACTCTGACACACCCCCATAGGCAAAGTGGGGGAGAACAAGGGGTCACAAGACCAGTCAAGCAAAGCAAAGCAAGCTCAGGGTGGATCACAAAGTCACCACACATTCCGAGCACAAGTTCAAGGCCACAAGGCCAGTTCACATGCAGGATTACATATATATATAAGGCTAGACAAGCAAGAGCAGGAGTATATATATATGCAACAGTACAAACAAGGTCAAGAGGTGAGCAAGTGAGGCAAGGTAGATACAAGACCCAGCTGAGTACAGAAGCGCTGATGATCACAAGGCGCAAGTGCCTTGGTGAAGATATCAGCAGTGTTGGCCTCAGAGGCCACGTACGCAAGTCGCAGCTGACCACGCTGCTGTAGCTCACGAGCAAGGAAGTAGCGAAGAGCAATGTGCTTCGTTCTGTGCTCCAGTCTCTGCTCTCGACACAAGGCCAGCATGGCCTTGTTGTCTACGTAGAGCACTGGAGGAGAACGAGGCGGCTCTCCGAGGTCAGTCAGCAGGTAGGTGAGCCAGCGAAGCTCCTGTGCAGCCATGGCCCCGGCGTAGATCTCAGCCTCACAACTGGAGCCGAGAACAGAAGACGAGCGAGTAGCCCGCCACGAAACAGAGCCGGAACCAAGGCAGAAGGTGTAACCCTGTGACGACCGCTGCGTAGCCTGGTCGTCAGCCCAAGAAGCGTCTGCGTGTCCAGTGAGGACCACTGGACTCTGCCCTCCAAGCACAAGCCCCATGCCCGACGTACTGCACAAGTAGCGCAACACCCTCTTCGCTGCAGCCATGTGCTCCGGTCTGTGTCTCCCAGGAGCAACATAGCGTGCAAGAATGCTAAGAGAGTATGCAAGGTCAGGTCGTGTGCAGGTCATCAGCTCCAGTAGTACCCGCAGGCCCAGCAGCTCCAGTACTCCCAGTACGAGCACCTCCGGGACCCGCGGCACCAGCACCCTCAGCAGCCGAAGAACCTCCAGCTCCAGCAGCACGCCTCCACCGCCGGGCAAACCACTCGCGCAGCTCCTGTGGAGAGAGTGGCTCCCGCCGAGACGAAGCACCCGGAGAACCTCCAGGCACAGTACCGCCAGACGCCACGCGAGCGGGCCCAGCTCCCTCAGGCTCCGCACCCCCAGGCTCAGCACCTCCAGGCGTAGCACCCCCAGGCGT